TTTGACACCAGTGGTGGGATTCAGCCGGTTCGCATCGGTCCCTAAAAGTTTTGCAGTTCCGACGAACCGGTTGTCGAATTATTCGAATCCCACCACTATGGGCCACAAAATCTGGCGAAATATTCGATAAAAATAATGAAATTATCTACCTTCTTGATCTCCATACTTCCAGGTGTACTGGAACGCTGCGGTGGTGGCGAGAACGCTATTTTCTCGTATGGTATCGTTCCACGACATAGAGCGCTCGGATCCAAACTGAGCGCAGCCTTTAAGGCGTTTTTCTTTAACATTCCATTTACATTAGTGGTACTCGTATTTAGGCCAGTGTGACTAGGGGAGCAGGTACGTGTGTTCGGTGACGAGTTCGTCGTGTCAGGCGGTGTATCCGACGAAGCAACTATCAGAGAGTCGGAGTTGGTGTCGATGGTAGTTATGCTGTCGTTACCATTTCTTCTATCCACGTCCGTCACCTCGACTGTGCTTCTTCGACGGCACTCGATATCTGCTGGACGGTTGTTTCCATTGTCTTCGATTTTTAACTTACCACTATCTTCGATGTTCTTTGAAGTTCGATGTACGCTTTTTTCTTCGCAATTTGAGCTGTCAATCTTGTTGAGCTTGTTCTGCAAATCCGTCACAATCGTCATCACGATACATATCGTAAATTATGCTCAGCATGTTTCTTATAACATTGGTTGTTAATGCATCGTACGTAGACACGGTATATACGGGGGGTTAACGTAAAGTAACGTTAATCGAATAGATCGACCGATGGAAACAAGGCAGAAATTTCGTCAAGTAAAATTTCGTCGCATCGAATAAAATTCAACGAGATTAAGGAGAAGGGAAATATCGACGAAACAAGTCGTAGGGATATCTTTATTTATACGTAACGCGCATGAATTAAAAAAAAAATGAATTTAATGTTTTTACTTATCCTGATGTACGTAACGATCGCTAGGATATGGGTTTCGATGCGTTAGAAGTGAGAAACATTAACAGCCAACGTATTAAACACGACGTCACACTGCTCGTGCAACAAACAACATCCGGAGTAAAAACCAAATAATTTCAACCTCCAAGGAGATGATGCTTGAAAACGGAAAGCATGACTTAACAGTTGGCACGAATGCGAGTTTATTTTAGAAAAAAAAAAAAAAAAAAAAGGACA